CCGGCCGGTGACAGCGCCTCAGGGTAACGTCCCTGGGGAGGCGGCAGCGCAGCTCGCTGGGGCTGTGCGGGCTCAAGGAGAGGCAACGGGCCGGCCCTGCTGTGGAGCGGGCTGCTCGGAGCGCCACAGAAACACTTGGGGTTAATGATAAACGTTTCGAGCATTGGAAAGCATGGGGAAAGGTGTGATCCGCTCATGGAGTGAATACAGACGTTACACTGAAACCGATTTTCCCCCCCTAAAACTGGGAAAGGCGGTTGTTGGGAATGTGAACTGCAGGAGGATTTCATTGTGCACTATGAAAAGTGGATAGTGTTGGAAGTAGTGGTAAGACAGATCTTCCAGTAGCTGGTGATGGATGGGATGGCATACTTTGTATGCCAAGCCAGATGAGATAATCCAAGACGATTTTTGGTGTATTTTCCTTCATTGAGTAAACTTTTCCCACCTTGAATTTCTGCTGCCATCTCATCGATCAATCAGGGTGTTTGCTATACATAGGATGTTTGATATTTTGGATTTCATTTGGATATATGAAACATTCTAGATGATAAATTAGAAGTAAATATTAAATGTTTCTCCAAATAAAAAAAAATGCAGCATTTTTTACAAGGGTCTGTAGGGCCAGGACAAGGGGGAATGGCTTTAGACAGAACGGAGATTGAAATGAGCTCTTACACAGAAATTCTTCTCTGCAATGGTGCTGAGGCACTGGCACAGGGTGCAGAGAGGCTGTGGCTGCCCCATCCCTGGCAGTGTTCAGGGCCAGGTTGAATGGGGGTTAGAGCCACCTATCTAGTGGAAGATGTCCCTGCCCATGGCAGGGGGTTGGAACTGGATGAGCTTTAAGGTCCTTTTCAACCCAAACCATTCCAGGTTTCTATGACTTTATGCCGTACACCACAAGGAATGCATGACAAAGGCAAATATGGTAGAAACAAACATCAGTCTGTCCAGGAAGTACAGAAACGTGAGCATCTGGATGCACAAACACCTTCTAAACCTACAAAAAACCCCAAGAATTTCAGGTATGAACACGTTTTATTAGTAATTTTCCACTTCCTGTACTTTCGTGGTCAGGAATGATATGGCTGACACTGGTGAAAGATAAGGCAAACGTTGTACACAGTGGTTGTCCTGAAAGCACCATCAAACAAACAAGAAACAAAAACCCATACAGACTTGGACCCCATTAAGATGTTACCAGCCCATAATAACACTTTCTGGTTTTAACATCCACAGCATCAGTAATTAATGCTCCTGATACTTAACCATGGGAAGATAAATAGTTACCTTCACTAGAACTGAGCCAGAAGATTAGAAAGTGAGAACCATTTTAGGTGTAATTACAGTCCTAACGCTCCCCCTTGAAACTTCCCCTGCAGCAACAAGGTGGGACTGATGTGATTCTCCTTTTCCTTTTGCCTGATGCTATTTGAGCCGAGATCCCAAACTAAAGCTGCTTATAGAATTCAAGAAAGTGTGGCATTATTGAAGCTGAGAGGCCCTTCAGCTCGTGTCTACAGCAGCAAGTGGAGAGTTCTGCATGCTCAGCACTTCCGAACACTGAGCACTCCCGGATTTTTCGCCGATATAGCACTTTTGGAGCAAATGAATGGAGGAATCAACATGTTCTCATTTAGCTATAGATTTTTGATTGGTCTGTACTTAAGCTAATAGCTTAACTATTTATTTGGTATAAATAAGACATTCTCAGCTGAAGATTGTTTTTGCCAGCCATGGGAGGAGCCTTGATGAAAAATACGATGAAAAATAATTCAATTGCAGAAAGTATTTCTGAACAGGGCTGGAAAGATCGTGCTTGACATGAGTTATTGAATGCTCCCATATTGCTGTGAATGCAGCAAAAGCCGCTGCAAAACTGACAGCATAGAGAAACTATAACCACTGGGAAAGGGAGGGAAGGGGAAAAGGAGAGGAAGGGACATGTCAGCAGGTTCCAAGCAACAAATGCAATGCAGAAGTACATGAAGTACGACTCTCAGTGCGTCACTCAGTGCACGTCCTATCAGCACGAGATATTTCATGCAGCCCACAAGAGCCCACTTACTCTTTCCGAACTCAGTTTAGGAAGCAGGGCTGTCAGCTCCATCATTCTCAAATCCCTTGCACCTAGTAAAATTCATGAGGCATTACTGGTTTGACAGTTGTTACAAAAAGCCATTCCTGGGAGACTTCTTACACAACATTTCCCATTGATTAGGAGGTTTGCGTGGGGAATACTTACAAGAAGAGGCTCCAGCTGCCAGTGCCAAAATCTCTGGGTTTAATAGCTGATCCACTCACCCTCAGACCGCTGAGTAAGAACTGGAAGAATAGCCATGAGATAGTAGCACAGGGACTGAAGGGAAATTTTAATAGATGGGGAAGGAAGGAAGAGATGCTAAAACTTGCTGCGAAGTCAAGGAAAGTGGAAATAGCAGCCCATGCAAAGACAGGAAATGAGAATCCAACATTTAGATTCAGTGTTTAACTTAAAATTAGTAGTTAGCTTGCTAACAAAGGTAATAAGCAGAAATTCCACATTCCAATACAGGCAACCAAGAGAGTGGTGAAACACAGGGAAGAGAAAGAGCCATGTAATCTTGAGGACACAGCTTGACAGACTATGGATCAAACTGCAGCATGTCCTCCCTCACGTTTGGATAAAGACGCTGTTGTGACAACGGGAGAAGGAACAGCACTTCCCGTCCGCTTCTGCTACAAACCAGGAAGTCAAAGCCTGGTCAACTACCATGATGTAGCGAGGGCTAAAAAATAACTGCACAAAGTGCCAGTCATCGTTTCCATTCGCGAACACTGCCCAACACAGGGGGTTGACACCCTTACCCAGTGAGTGGAGTTAGTCTGCCATCTCCTGACTAGATGATAAATTACAAAACGGGGGTTTCTTGGTTTAAGTTCTTAAGCATAGAATCAATTCCTGAGAAAAAGACCTTTAGGATCGTTAAGTCCAACTATTAACCCAGCATTGCCGAGTCCACCTTAAACCCTGTCCCCATACACCACATTTAGATGTCTTTTTAAATCCCTGAAGTGACAGTGACTCTACAACTTCCCTGTTCCAATTTATAGAATCATGGAATAGTTAGGGTTGGAAAGGACCTTAAGATCATCCAGTTCCAACCCCCTGCCATGGACAGGGACACCTCACACTAAACCATGGCACCCAAGGCTCTGTTCAACCTGGCCTTGAACACCGCCAGGAATGGAGCATTCACAGCTTCCCTGGGCAACCCATTCCAGTGCCTCACCACCCTAACAGGAAAGAACTTCCTCCTCATATCCAACCTAAACTTCCCCTGTTCAAGTTTTAACCCGTTACCCCTTGTCCTATCACTACAGTCCCTAATGAAGAGTCCCTCCCCAGCATCCTTATCTTAAACAAAAGCTCCTGCTGTAGCACTCTAGGGAGAAAAACACACAAACTTCTACAGACACCACAAAGGAACTACACATTGGGACAACCGAAAACATTATCAGAGTGTGAAAAATACTCCAATATAAAATAGGGTCTAAATTTAAAATGCTGAGTGCAATACCTATTCTGCTCTTCCCATGGCCATTTTGTGCTGGCATTTTATTCTGTTTTGATGATTTGTTTGAAAGCACTGAGCTAAAAGAAAAACCTACGCAAAAAGTTAACTGGATTCACAAAATGCTAATCCAGAAGTAAACACAGACGAACTGCTCCTTAAGAACTGACCTTTTTTTCCTCCAAAACATCACCAACACCTCAAGACGGTATCCAAGCCAAATTCCAAGTTCCCGTTTTCACTTTGCATACGTTATATTAGTACGCATACTGAAAAAAAATAGATACTTTACATATCTTTGCATCAACCTGAGGAGCCCAAAACAGGAGGCAAGAGAGCTCAGGTTGCTCCCATTAGCAGTCAGCACGAGAGAACTTTTACAAGTTTAAAACTCATACTAAGGTAGGACTGTGCAAGGAAAGGCCTCAGGCCACTGGAAAACACTAGAGACGAACACAACTCCTTCTCTATACCGCCGTACCGGGGGACCACCGGGTTCCCTGCCCCTGGAGAGGGCTCCTCCCGCGAACCGGTGCTCCGGGATGACGAGCGCCATTTTTTTTACCTCACATAAAAAGGTATCTAAAACCTACAAAGGTCCTGCAGGAACTAACACAACGCTTGGAGCCCGGCTGGCACATTCGACCCGCGGCTCAGCTGTTACTAACAATCCCATCCATTACCCGAGCCACTCTACCCCACAGTGAGCCAGCTCCAGCCCCTCAGGGGCTGATGTGGCGCCTATCGCCGGGCCATACCATGCGGCCACTCCACCCGCTGGAGAGGGGAGCACCGCTGGTTCCGTCTGCTCGGCCCCTTAAAACAAACGCGTTGCTGTCGGCATTACCCCCTCTACACGAATTTGGTAGCTCCCACGAGTGCATGGCCAGCCTTCGGGCGAGTCCATGGCTGAAAGTTTGGAGGGAAAGGGTGCGCAGGTTTTGTATCAGAATGCTGCCTTGTCGCCTTCCGCCTAAAGCTGGAAAAGAAAACACGCTGAGGTGCCGAAAGCGCAGTAAGGTTTCGATCTACCTCAGCGAGGCTAAATGCCACAGCGCTTTCTGCTTCCAGATAAATGGTTCGGCCGAACCCCACCTCAGAAGGATGGGAAGAGGCGCCATCTTGGACTCGACCACAGCGACGCAAAAAATAGGGGGAGCCACGGCTGCTATGCGGCGAGTAAGAATGGGAGCCGCCTCTAACTGAGAGAGGAGCGGGCTGAGAAGAAGATGCCGGCCGCCTCGGAGCAGAAGGGGGAGAATATGGTGGCGGTGAGCAGCCGCTGAGGCTGGTCGAGGATTTAATTTCGACAGCCCCCCTCCCGCTCCATGCCTGTTGGTATGCGCCCCCGCGCGGGGCCCGCTGGTCCTGGCGCACATGGCCGGGCGGTAGGAGCCGCCCCGCCCCTCCCCCGCTCTTTTCCCCGTCGCGCTGTAGCAGGGAGCGCGCGGCCGGCCGGGCCCCGCAGCCAGCCCCATGCAGGACACCGAGGAGAGCCCGGCGGCCGCAGCGCCCCCCGCCGTGCAGGGGCCCGGCGGCGACACCGAGCACACGGACGGGTCCCCGCCGCCCCTGGCAGAGCCGCTGCCGCCGCAGCAGGAAGAGGAGGAGGAGAAGGAAGGAGAGGGACGGGAAGAAGAAGGCGGCGAGTCTGAGGGGCCGCCGGGGCCCCCTGAGCCGCCGCCTCCCGCCGCCGAGGAGCCCTCCGCCGAGCCCGAGCAGCCGCCGCCTCAGCCGCCCTCCGGCCGCCAAAGCCCCGAGAAGGCGGAGGCTGAGCCCGAGGCCGAGCCGCCGGCCGGGGCCGAGCCTGAGGCCGAGCCGGCGGTGGAGGCCAAGACCGAGCCGCCGGCTGAAGCCAAGACCGAGGCTGAACCCGGCGCGGCGCAGGAGAACGGAGAGGCCGCGCCTGGCGTCCCGGCCGAGCCCGAGGACGAGATTTCCTTCAGCGACCCCGAGGACTTCGTGGACGACATCAGCGATGAAGGTGCGGGAAGGGCGGCCGGGAGCGGGATGGGTGGGAGGGGCCGCGGGGAGGAGGGAGAGCTCCGGCCGTGGGGCCCGGCCATGACCGCGGCGAAGGCCCCCGAAGCCCGGTGTACGAGCGGTGCATGGCCGTGCCATCGCTCTCCGGGACGCGCTTTGCTCCCTTCATCCCCCCGGGCTGCCTGGCAGCTGCTCGTGTTGCTGGGTACGCGTGTTGGTCGCAGCAGTGCGTCCTGAATGAAGCTCCTTCTGGTTTATCTGCGCACCGTACTGTTGGTCCTAAACGTGATGGCAAACTTCGAGTACCGGTCTGCGGGCTGCTCGCGCAGAGCGGGATCACCACCTTGTGTGTTTGCCGTTTGCCTCCGTTGGTTAAACTCGGCTGTAAAACCAGCAGTCTTCAGTTTTGACCTGATGCAAATTAGATTTCATCATTCTGTGTGTTCTACACATCCAGAGTAAAATCTGTAGATAACAGTATGGCTTTGAGAAGATTTAGTGCTCAGAAAGACATGACATAGGCACTTTGTGATGAGAAAGGTATGGGAGCATTATTTCTGCCAGTTAAATTCGAACTGAGGCTCTTCTTGAAAAGTATTGAATATTGACTGTCATAAAATGTTATAAAGCCATTGTGTAGCTGCAGAGACAGTCGAGGGAATACGTGATTCTGTCATACAGGAGTTAGAACTCTGTTTTAGTATCTTTCAATTAAATCTTTCTAGATAAATCATCTCCATTCTTGAATAGCAAAAGTACTTGGTCTAGGTATACGTTGTTGTAGGGTCTGACTTACGTGTATCTTATGTGTTGTAGGGTCCTATGTTACATATATGAAAACTGGAGAAAAGTTTCTTAAAGCATGTGATTGTAAGTCAGTTCTTCCGTTGGCCGTGGAACACAGGTGATCCATGTGCCTTCTGGTGTTGAGTCCTGTGCTTACCTTAACAAAACTGCAGCAAAATACCTTAGATTAGGAGAGTGTTTGCTGGTCTCAATTTAGTCGTCTGTATGGCTCTTTGAACTTGTGCACGTGTTTCTTAAAGAGATGTTGGCAAAGTCGTCTGCAAGTATGTAGTTGGATTGCTTTTGCCTGGTTAAGCGTTTGCTTGATACACTTGGTCTATGCCTGGGATTATTATGGTCAATTCTGATTGTCTTCAGAAACTGCATGTATTTTCCATTTCATGTATTTTATTGTGAAGGATTATTTGGGTTAACTTCTCATCTGTGTGAATAATACAGTGTTAGTGCCTGAATTACAGTGTTTAAGTTTAGTCACTCTTGTTGGTCTGGCTTTCTATGCGCAACTTCTTGAGCTTCCTTATTCCTTTCCCTGTATCCTGATGACTCCCGAAGGAGAAAAGGAGTCTATCACTGTCACTGAGCCAAAGTTATTTCAGTGTTTATGATAACATTCCATCTTCATGAGCACCTTTGAGCTGGACCATCTTTAGGATTGGACCGTCAGCTTGCTTTCCACCAGCATGATGGTGGCATGGAGGAACAGCGCATCCAAGTTCATGCAGGAGAAGGGATGTGTCAGATGCACTTAGGTGCAATGAAGCTTTAGTTAAGATAATGATAGTGGTCCTTACAATTCTGCCAGCTGAAGATAGCTGTATACCCACCACACCCTGCTTCTCTTGTGGGTGGAATAAGAGCTGGCTAAACCAGCTTCTTCCCTTTTGAAGATCCCTTTGTTCACAATTTTGGATTTAAGGTCGAGGAAGGGTACAATGTAGGCATTTGCCTTTAATCTGCTACAGTTTTGATTAAACGCTGTATTATTGCAAATGAATCTGAATATGCATTCCTTGGTTTGTCTGTAGGCCTACAAAGTCTTTTTGTGGGAAGTAGTTATGAAAAATGACTAATAGAGCCTAAAAAATCACCCTTTTGTGTTTCCTTGTTTCCATCTTTTTCTTGTAGACTTGTGTGAAAGTACGTGCTTTCATTTTACATGCAGGGAAAATCTAAGATAGGGGATTATAGGGTAAATAAGAAATCTGCATGTTATTTTACTGTAATACAGGATTTTTAAACTATTCCTTTCAATCCTTCCAATTTTTGTAGTGGTAGAAGACACTTTGCTGCGTGTATCCTAGATCCTAGGGAAGTGGTTCCTTACCCACAGCTTTAGTACATTATCAGCTACCTGAAGGTTGGCTTATTCCTTGAAAGAGTATCTTGAGATCTAGTATATACTAGGAAATTAACTTGCAGCCCTTATCTTATCTTACTAGATTTCATCATTCTGCGTTTTCTGCACATCCAGAGTGAAGTCTGTAGATAAATAGTATGTAAATCAATAGTATAAATTAACCCCTGACCACAAAAGAAGTGGTATTCTTTTCCGGATCTGTAACAGTTTGGGTCAATTTTCCATGTTGCAGTAGGTGAAAGGTGAAAGGAGGAGGGGGAAACGTGGTCCAAAATACCTTAACTTAAACCACTTTGTGTGGTAGAAAGTCCTGCCTGGAGTGATCCCTGTACACACTGCTGTACTTAAAAGAAGTCAGGATTTACCTGTATGTCCTATTTTCCTTCTACTTCTTTGCCTACCTATTTGTTTGAAATAGTGCTCTTAAAGTTGTCATCACCTGTGATTGTTACTGGGACTAATGCCTCTACCTTCATGTCAAGGTTTTTGCTTATCCTTGGTGATCTATATGGTTTTGTGCCATTAGGATACCTGTTGTTAATTCTGGGGGTTTTAATTCACTTTTCCTGCATTTGACTTCTTGTCCCAGTTTTCAGTCTGCTGCTCCTCACTAAGGACTCTCTTCAGACTTGCCTCTTAAACATTAACTTCTGTCAAGTCCTCCTGCTTTTTGCTGTGTTGCACACCTTCACTGAGTATCTGACTTGCTCTGAAGAACATGGTCTGAGCCATTTTGTAATAGTTGCTACAAATTAGTAAATAGTTGCTATAATTGGGGAAGTTTGTGGGTATAATCTGAGTGTGTGGAGTAAGTAAAATGACATAATATGGAGGATCATTCCTCTAACCCCCTCAGCTTTTAGTTACTACCAGTAATAGTAGTAACTGGTAGTTTACGCCGGGTAGTAGCACATGGAGAGCATCTTTTTGAATAATAAATACTACAAACTCAATATTCCGTGAGTACTACATAATCTTAGTGGTGATGGCATCTGTTTCTGCATAAGCTTTTGAGAAGCGTATTGCCACAAATCATTGTAAATCTCCACATGTAATAACCTGTTGAAGCTTCAGGTTATAGAAAGCTGAAGGTTTTGGTTATTTCAAATTCAAAGCAAACATGTTTATTCACTACTCGAGATCTTTCCAGTGGTCTTTCTGGGAAGGATAACTTCTAGAATTCCAAACCAGCAAAATTCCATTAAAATGCTTTCAAAGTATCAACACATCGAGCACCCTTTTTCATTTGTTCTCATGTTTTAAATGTTTTTCTGTGTGTATGCATACATGTGCATGGATTAATTTTTTTCCTCTGGCTTGTGAATGCTGGACATAGTCTGACACCAAATTTTATCCTTGTATTCTAATTCAAAGCATAGTGGTGTACACTTATTTACTGTCTGGTCTTGCAGTTTATATTTTCACGTAAGTTAAAGGCTTACTGCAGATAAGCATGTATATTTTTCCTGTTCATGTGGTATGTGTGAAACTGCCATTCATTTCAGCACGTTTGGCTTATTTGTTAGCAGAATGTCTGTTCTGGTCCATTTAAGTAAACAATGCTAAAAATGTCCATAAACCAGAGAAAATCTGCCACTTGTAACTGATGTTGCTTTAGAATCCAGTCATGCAATCATGTTAGTAAGTGGAACAATCAGTTATCTAGACAAGTATTAAAGTGTATGTTTGAACAGGATATCTAGGGATAATGTTGGATTTTGTTCCTGGAAAGGTTTAAAAATAACCTTAGGTTAACATTATGTGAGGGTTTGTTTGGATAGCCTTGTCTTTAGTGCTTCTAGCTCAATCCATTGAGAACTGAATCATGGATATAATTTTTCTGTGTCTTCTTGGATCTACAGGTTAGAATGTAGTTCGGGTAATGTTAATTTGAGAATTGTGTTTAAATTTATGTATTACCAATGGGGTTTAGGTGGTGGTTACAGACTAATCGAATAGAATTGACTTGAGGAATAGATTAAAGCTAGATTACGTCTGTCTAGAATTCTACAGAACATAAGTCTAGAAACCTACTAAGTAAAACTTATGCAGTGTTGTTGTTGAAGCGTCTAACTTTATGTACAACATCTAGGTGTACTTTGGACCTTTTAAGTGTTTTTATCGTGGTGTGGCACATAAGTTATAACTGCAGTTACAGTCCTTGAGAATGTTCTTCCTATTGTGTATGGGAAACTTCAGTGATGTTGTAAGCAATTTCTTCCTAGTAGTGAAGGGACAGTGTAGGGACTGAACCATCCCACTCTCAAAATGTGTTAAGATGTTGTAGGAAATGCGAGTTAGTACAGTTGAAGACTGTCCAGAGTGTGAAGAAGTATGCGCTTGTCTTCACTTGCTGCATGCTTAAGGGTGGCTTTAGGTGTCATGCCTTAGACCTTCATTTTTGTGTTTAATTAAAGGTTTAGACAGAGTGTGAGTTCTTAAACATAATTACAGTGATGCTAAGACACGCAGAGTTTCCAGCGTAGCAGATAGTTCTGAATTATGCTAAAACTCATGGCATTTGGAAGGATGGTACATGTTGCATTTCTTTCAGTCATCCAGTTACAATTTGAGCGCTTTGTGAGCCAGTTACAGCTCCAGAAACAAGCTGGTGGTGCAGGTGTTGACATCCTCAGTGTAAGGTATTGCTGTAAGGAGTTAGCTGCTTGAAGTTTAAGAAACTGTGTAATCATGCCTCTTAGCAAGGAAGTTTTGGGAGTTGGATGGGTGTTCAGTTGTTTCTCTGATGGAACATTCATTCACTACCAATTTTCTTGAATGATTCTTGAAATGTCCTGAAATTTGAAGTCTTCCTATTGTCTTACTGTCACTGTTCTTTTTACCCTCCTGTCTTCCTACTTCATGATGTAGACTGGTGCCTTAGTTTCTTGTATGCTTTTTCTTTGCAGAATTACTTGGTGATGTACTGAAAGATCAGCCGCAGGAAGCAGACGGGATTGACTCTGTAATTGTCGTGGATAATGTTCCCCAGGTTGGACCAGACCGACTTGAGAAACTGAAGAATGTCATCCACAAAATATTTTCCAAGTTTGGTAAAATTATCAATGAATTTTATCCAGAAGCAGATGGGAAGACAAAAGGGTAAGTCAGCTCCTACTGGAATGGGACTGAGACACTGCTGTGACTTACCCTTGATTGTTAGTGTCAATACTTTATGGCCAGTTTTTATGGTGACCTCATAGTCCTGCTTATCACTTTCTTCTACCTTACTTTGTACAATCCTTACATCTAGTCTCAGTAAGCAACAGAAGTTCCAGAGGGAGCTGAGAAGCTTAATAGCTCATTAAGCTACAGTGTGTGTGTGTGTGGAGATTAATTATGGAAACAGTTTAGCTGGGTTTGGAAGGCACATTTCTGTGCAATACTAAATGGTATTTTTCTGTTAATTTTAGCTATGGCTAATAATAGATTCTAGCTAAAAACTTAGTAGCAGTGGATGTACTGTTTATTTCAAAATGGACTGTCAGTATTCATCTCTGGTTGCCAGTGCTTATGCTTATGTTAGTCACTCCAACTTCCTTAAGGTCAGTGAGCCCTTATGAAGATCCTGTCCCCCTTTGCCAACTTCTGATCCCTGTTTATGGTTAATTGCAGCATCTGAAATTGAGAAGAAAGCTAACAAGAAGTGATCAAGCCAAAAGGGAAAGTTTTAGAGAGAGAAAGCAGGCCAAAATCAACCTGATCAATATGAGGTTTTACAGAGTCTTGCTCCTCTGGTTGGAGTACTGTATATTCCTGAGTCTGGGGAGGAAAGCGTAAGAAATTGGGTTTTCTGGAGCAGATGCCTGGTTGGTTCTGTACGTTCAGCTTGAGGAGCATGAGAAAATTATGGTGAGAAGGAAGCTGGATTATATTCAGTGTAGTTGAAAGACAAGAGTGGTGCTTTGAGGTGTCTATGACAGCAAGATTTACACTTCCTACACATGATTTGTTACTCAGCTGGAAAGAGCTGCGCACCAAACCTGCCTGTTACTAGCTCACATTGTTGATTTATGTTGCATTGAACTTGCATTCATTGCTTAGCCTAGCTTATCTGCAAAAAGAATATCAGTTTAATTCCAATCAAGCCCTGTATACAGCCTAAAAGTGTGCATATGCTTTTGGCCAGAGTGGAGATAAATTGCTTTTGAACCCTAACTTGTTAGGGACAAGACAAAATTTTGTAGGTGCTCCATACTGAGTTCTTGGTTCATCCCCACTGTTTGTTCCGTGTTTTATTTAATGTCTTTTTTTTATATGAGCCTGTTACATAGCCAGTGATGACTTCCTGCTGTCATCTTCCTTCATTGCAGATACATCTTCCTGGAGTACATGTCTCCATCTCATGCTGTGGATGCTGTGAAGAACGCAGATTCCTATAAACTGGATAAACAACACACTTTCAGAGTCAACCTGTTCACAGACTTTGATAAGTGAGTGCAGCTGTCGTGAGTATCTGTAGATCTGGGGATTCTAACCAGAAGTGCCTGCGTGGAGGGTAACCAATGAAATTGTTCTTTCAGGTACATGACAATCAGTGATGAGTGGGAAATCCCTGAGAAACAGCCATTTAAAGACCTGGTAAGGATTTCTTTGGGGAAGTGGGAAGAATATTCAGCACAATATGAAATGATGACTTCATCACTGGAGCATTCATATGAAAATAGAAATGATGCATCAGTAGTGTTGTTATAAGTAACAGTATACTGTGGTCATACGCTCCTGTTCCTTTCTTCTCACTGTCATGAAGGAACAAGAACTTAATGGCTCTGTTTAGTAGTTCCACACAGAGCAAAACATAAGAGGAAAGAATGATTTTTTTGCACAAGCTGCTTAAAAATAGAGTTTTGAAAGCATCTTATGTTTCCAAATGCTGGAGGCAGACCTCTTGTGTTTGTTACCACTATCACTAATAAGCTTTTTGCTTCTGTTTGTCTTAGGGCAATCTCCGATACTGGTTGGAAGACCCTGATTGTAGGGATCAGTACAGTGTGATCTTTGAGTCAGGAGACCGGACCTCCATTTTTTGGAATGACATCAAGGAACCTGTGCAAATTGAGGACAGAGCAGTGAGTGTCCTGGAAGTGCTGTACATTACAGATATACTGTCAGTCTCATTTATTTTATGACATTTCAAAGATATTTTTTCACCTATTGCTGAAATCCTTTTTCCTTCCTTTTGGTGAGGAATGGTGAAAATACATCCTTTAAAATCAGAATTAGCTGCTTAGGTAAAACAAATGTAGAGTTAACTTGTTTGTGGTGGTGTTTGCTTTTTCTTAACTGGTCCACGATGCCCATTAGTTTCCTTCGTCTCTATATTGTAGGTGATTCAGAAACACCTGAAAATGCAAAGTCAGAGTCTGAGGAGTGTTATTCATTAGAGCGGAGTATGTGCTTACGTGTGCTGCTTCTGATCCTTTTTTGCTGACCACAGGGAGATGCTAAAGAGGAATAGCTGGTTTGGTAGTAGCATATAAAAGAGAGAGTCAGTGTGCCTGTCTGCTGCAGACAGTGACCCAGAAGCATTTTCTGTAGTAACTATTATGTGTTACAGTAGAAAGATGTTGACTCTGGGATGATGAGTAATTCATTCATCACCATGGTCACCGGTCATGGTCTGTGTTGCTGAAACCTCTCAACATAGCTGAAGGTCAAGTGTATTGTTAAGAAATTGGAAATAGTGACCTTACTTCTGAGTATGTTCTTACCAGGACTGAAACACAGCGAGCAAACCCAAGCCTGCTTAGGTGGGTATAATTGTTACTATACAAAGGCTGTCTCTCTACCTGGAAAATGGTTTTGAAGATCAGCAAGTTGAAAAGGTCTCAATTGACACTTTTCAACCTGAAGAATTGAGTACTGTGAATTACGTGCATGAATGAAACTCCACAGCTTGTCCAGGTTGTCACTGATCTTAATAAACAGTAAAGTGTGAAGCTACAAGGCACACATTCATTCTTTCCCCTTTAGGAAGCAGCATGAAACCAAACCTTTGTGTACCCTTTGTTTTTAAATCCAGAGGTGGACAGAAACCTACGTACGTTGGTCCCCGAAGGGCACCTACTTAGCTACCTTTCACCAGCGAGGCATCGCACTTTGGGGTGGAGAGAAATTCAAGCAGATTCAAAGGTTTAGTCACCAGGGAGTGCAGCTTATTGACTTCTCACCTTGTGAAAGGTATGGGGTATGACACTGGTTTGGGCTAAGGGATCAAAAGCATGAAGTATGCATGTTGCTGCTGTGCTTTCAAATCTCATGTGGTTGGGGTTTTCTGTTGTCCTTTGTCTTTGGAAGTACAGCTTTCCGTGCACAATTCCTTCTTGGAACGAGTGAAGCTCTGCCTGACTTTTGACTTCAGGAAAGATACTTAACATAATCTAGAATAATTGCTCTATAAAACTGAGCTGACAGGTTTCCTCAGAGAGTATTATCCCAAGGGAGAAGGCCGTGTTTTTTCCTTAGATGGGATGTCTCTAATATTAGACTTTCGTTCTCTAAGATTCAGTTGAGTATAGTGTCCTGTATATCTTTGGTACTTACATGAATTCCCTATGTTTTCTTTAATGTTAAAGATCTCCTTATAGAAAGCTAAAATAGTTTCAGGACTGAGATATATCTTGTTTTGCTAGTTTTCAAACAGCATTTGGAAGCCGTTAGGTTTTATGTCTTAATACATTAGAGAGTATTTATCTTTCAGTGGAGAAGTCTTAACATACTTATGGTTCAGGTTGGCTAAGGTCAATGGATTTACATTCTTTCCGAAACTAATCATGTTCTTGTGGCAAAGCTATATAGTAGGTAACAGTATTTAGTGAATTCCTCTTCTTGTAACATCAATACAGGAAGATTTGTACATAAATCTAGAGTCTTCTCAGCCAGAGGAATGCCAGAGAAATACAGTATCTTGGAAGCATTCTTCCCCTTTATCACACTGTTCTTACTGCTTAAAATCCCATTAAAGAAACTGCTGTTTGAAAGTACATTGTATGTAATATTGTTTGGATAAAAGCTTGCTTGTATCGGTATATTAGATGAAGTTTTGACAGTGAAATTATTTCTTTTGTAGGTATTTAGTGACCTTCAGCCCTTTGATGGACACACAGGATGACCCTCAGGCTATTATCATCTGGGACATTCTGACTGGGCAGAAGAAGCGAGGATTCCACTGTGAAAACTCAGCTCACTGGCCTATTTTTAAGTAGGTTGAGAAACAGAATGAGAGAACTGATCCTAGATTTCATCACATAAAAAGGCAGTTCCTATTTAATATTCTTTTTCCTTTTTATTTGCTTAGATGGAGCCATGATGGTAAATTCTTTGCTCGAATGACTTCAGATATCCTCAGCATCTATGAAACACCTGTAAGTTCTTGCTTGTTTTTTCTCTTGTCAGTCTTTCTCATGGTATATATTTCAAATGACATGTATAATCATAGAACAGTTAGGGATGGAAAGTGCCTTAAGATCATCTAGTTCCAACCCCCTTACCATTAGTGTTTTACTTTGTAAAATAATATACTCTAGAGCTGGGCTTAAAAGGGGAGAAATTCATTTGCTTGTCTTCTTTCCTGGGTGAAAAACTTTAGCTGAGTCTGACAGTCAATTTCACACGTCTAGAATGACTAGACAGATCAATATATGAGTCAGTAGGATCAGGTTTGTGATGCCTCAGAGCTCTAAGTAGAAGGTGAGTGCCAAAAATGCACTATAAATTGCAGCCTAATCTAATCTGGTTTACATTTCCATGACAATTCAGGCTTCTGCTCTCATTAATCTGTACAGCAGATTTTATTGATTTGTAACTGTGGAATATGTATGATCATAATAAAAGTGATACAGGATCTCTGAAAGCTGTGCACAATTTCCTAGTTTGTGTGCTCTAATAGGAGTAGAAGGTACATCTGTAATAAGAAGAATGTTACTGACTTCAAAATTCACACCTTTCTCTTTTAGTCTATGGGTTTGTTGGACAAAAAAAGCTTGAAAATCAATGGGATAAGGTAGGTCTATTCCTTTGTAAAGATAACAGTTCTAACTAAAGAGAGTTGTGTCTGGGGCTTTATAGTGAGAGGAATCTAGAACTCTGGTCTCGTACACTAAAGTGGTCAAATCAGACAAACTGGCAAAAAGGAATGGAAAATGCTCCATTTATTCTTGTCCGTAGTTGATAGCTTGTGTGCTTTGAAATAATCTTTGTATTACTGATTAATCCAGGGTCTATCTGGGGAGTCCTGTTCTATGTCTACAAAACCAAACTGGAATGCAGTCAGGGAATATCTCCCTAACAAGATTTGTATGCTGGCTTGGAACGGTGTGCTGTATCCTACCTGTTGGCAAGGAGTGGGTTTAGTTTTGTGCGTGACTGTGTGATAGACAGGGACTCCTATGAGAGCTTTTGAGGTACCTCTGTAAAGCAACAAGAAAACTGAGTGTACCCAGGTGCAAGGATATTGTCTCCTGTGTAATTTAATAGGAGGGTTTCTTATTGCTCATTGGTTTGATCAGTCTGTTTCTTAGATCTGTTACACTGGGTGTAACCCCTGCTCTAATTGAAACGTACTGGGTTTGATAACACTGATTATAGAGCAAGTGTAAACAGCAGTTTAAACATCTGTTTTGGTGTGATGTGTGTAAGGTGGTTAAATTAGCCTGAGTTGCTTGTCTGTATCTGCCTTTATTATTAAGATTTTACACTTGCCTGCGGTTCAGATACAATGATGAAAATGGTTTCTGCTTGTAGCATCTCTAATTAAAAATTAATCCAGTGCATTTTTTTACTTTCTTCCTGTAGAGACTTCTCATGGTCTCCAGGTGGTAACATAATTGCTTTCTGGGTGCCTGAGGACAAAGACATCCCAGCAAGAGTGACTTTGATGCAGCTGCCTTCTAGACAAGAGATTCGTGTGCGAAATCTCTTCAATGTCGTAGACTGTAAACTACACTGGCAGAAGAACGGGGATTACCTGTGTGTGAAGGTAGACAGGACTCCCAAAGGCACCCAGGTAGGTGGATTCTGATTATATTAATGACATTTAGTTCTCTCTCATGCTGACACCTACTGTCTTTCAATACAGACAGTGTAAATTCTATGATGTCAAAGCTATTTTTCATTTTTCCATGTGCATTTGAGGCATGTGGAGAGGCAAAGTCTGCCATGTTTACACCCAAGGCTTGCTTTGACTTCAGTGACATTGTGGACTTGGGCGAGAGTTGCAGGCTTCACCTCTTGTTCCACTCAATGTCAAGCAGATGCTGAACAGCCTTTAGTTTGTGCTGCACGGTGCACCATAGGTTTATCTGTCTTAATTAAATTTCATAACAGTCTGGAAAGAAACAAATGCTTTTGTACTGTTACTTTTTATCAGGCAGGAAAAGATGGAATGTGTTCGGTAATGAGGCATACTATATTTATCTGCTTCCATTAAAGAAACAAATCTTGTCTTTCATCCTGTGTCCTGACAGGCTAATTGTGTAGTTGTCCTTCTGTGCCTTCCAGTACAACTATTTGCTCTACTGCTTCTGTGCTGGATAATGAGCTGATCTTGGTCTTTACAGGGAGTAGTGACCAACTTTGAAATATTCAGAATGAGAGAGAAACAGGTGCCAGTGGATGTGGTGGAAATGAAAGGTAATGCCAAGTGTTTCTTTACTTTATAGACACTTGTTTCTTAGAAATAGCTGTCAGCACGTGACAGAACTGGGAAGATAACTCTTTTCCTAGTGTAGTATTAATGTTGGAGGGCACCTCCATCTCATGTAGAGATGAGGAATCAAAATGTTTGTTGCTGCTCATGCTTGTAACTGAAAATCTATTAAAGATCATAGGGCTGATACTATGAGTGTGTTTTCCAGAAGATGGGAGACTCTGGGGAGCTATTGTTTGTCTGAAATGCCATAACTCCCTACCTTTGCCTTATCAACCCGTGCTTTAACAGGCTTTGCCACATAGGCTGTCTTTTAACTGATGGGTTTCCTTTTTTCAGCATCGTTGGTTTTCTTTGATAACTGCTTGAAATCAAAGTTTTGCATTGTCTTTTGAGAGAGTTTTGGATTGTTTTTTGTTTTTTTCTTTGTTACAGAAAGCATCATAGCCTTTGCTTGGGAACCAAATGGAAGCAAGTTTGCTGTGTTGCATGGAGAAACTCCACGAATTTCAGTTTCCTTTTACCATGTTAAAAACAACGGGAAAATAGAACTCATAAGTAAGTGACTGGGAAACAAGTGAAAAATAGAGTTACTAGGCATTTTGCATGACAGTAGATACAGTAAAGTCAAAACTCTGCCTGGTTTTGGGTAGAACAGTGATATGTGCTCTGCCTAACATTGTATTGTAAAGATCTAAATTCTCGGTGACAGCTAAACTGTTTTGACTCTGAATCAGTCCAGTGTCTGGGAATAAAAGGCCTACAAGGCAGAATAATTTTGTGGCTTTGGGAAATGGATGTGAGGTGATAGCATAGACTTGGCTCACTTCAGATAAAATTTATTCCCAGGTTGTATGTTGGGATCTTCTGATCTCTCCTGCTACCTTTGGGCATCTGGGTGCTACTGGGTTTTGCCTTTAGAAGTGTAGAGCTAAGGGCTGTTGTTAGGACTTGCTTGTAGAGTTCAGAAATGTCTTATGAGGACTGAATGGTGTTGACTGCTTGTAAGCAAAGAGATGGTGTCAGGTTGAGATCTTCTGAATTTGTTTCTTTCCAGAAACGTTTGACAAACAGCAGGCAAACACGATATTCTGGAGTCCTCAAGGGCAATTTGTAGTGTTGGCTGGCCTCAGAAGGTGAGTACTGCACAAGTTACTGAACACCACATTCATTTGGATGAGGGAAAAGACTGGAGTAATTCATCTAGGAATGTTCGGCATCTCCAGGAACGTTGCATTACTGTGTAATGCTGATAGAGCTTTGCAGAAGCAGAGGAAAAGAAGAAACACAATGTCATGATGTAGTTTAGTCCTTTATCTTTTACATGCTATTTTTGCCATACCAAATGCAGAATGCTTTTTTCAACAAGAAGTGGATATTTAGAAACACTTCTCAGCTGTTTAAGTTAAATACTGACTTAACTAATCCAGTTTGCACCACGCATGTGGTTCTTACGATGCATTTGTTGTCACAGCCCTGTGGCTCCTCATGGGCAATACCTCTTAATGACAAAGCTGTTTTGTAAAAGAGCTATTAAGAAAGTTTCACATCAGAGCAAGTGAAAGTTAATTTTATTAAGCATTTGAGTACTATTTGTCTTTACGTGCTTTTAGACAAGTGCTGCTCATCTTGTCTTCACTACATAAGTATGTCTGAGTATATGATTGTTAAACTTTGGCTGTAACTTGCCTATAGTATGTTTTCACTGTCACTTTAACAGCAGAAGTAAAATGGGTTCAGGGTCACTGAACACAGACACAAAAGTGTCATTCTTGGGGTTTTGTTTTTATTCATCACATGCTTTCTAGCCACAGAGACTGGTATGAGCCTGTCTCTTGGTTGCTCTGAGAACTCATCTTTGTAGTGAGGAAGTGTAAAGAAGCAGCTTGTGAAATGCTTTTAAAAACCAGGCTATACTAGTATGTAAAACCATCTGCTTTATTTTGTCTTTGCAGCATGAATGGTGCCTTAGCATTTGTTGATACATCTGACTGCACCATGATGAATATAGCTGAACACTACACAGCTTCAGATGTGGAATGGGATCCTACAGGCAGATACATTGTGACTTCTGTGTCTTGGTGGAGCCATAAGGTACTGATGTTTTCCTGTGGGGTGTATTTGTTTTTCCTTTGTCTCCCAGAGTTATTGGGCTGTTGGTTAGGAAAAGAAAACGGGCAACTCTCAGTCATCCTGTGACTTAAAACCTACACCGCAGTTTTATACATGAACTTCTAAACATCAGTATTTAGGCCGTTGGCTTCACCAGTTGTCCAAAATAAGTTCTGGAAGGGCAGTTCATGAATCTAAACTGAATGTCCTTTTCCATTATGTCTTTAGTGGTTTAAACCTTGATCTCCTTGTGGTCCACACAGAGTAGCAGGATTTATTGCACCTGTATTACTTTCAGGCACTGCTCTGTAATCCTCTCCTGTACAAGTATAGACTTTGAGACTTAAGAATGTGGTAGAAGGGCTGGCTTAGTTTCAAACTGGTGGGATCCTCCTTGAGAGTAACTTCTTGCAAAGCTTTAATGGAACAGCTGTTTTGCAGAGGGATTTGACTTGTGCAAGGAAGGCACTTCCAAAAGAGCACCCTGTTTCTCTTCACTAATGGTGCTTATTTTATAAGACCCTTAAGACATGGAGTGAGGACTACATTGTGAAGTTATAGCTTATCTTACCTGAGATGGTGCACTGCTCTTCCAGGTGGACAATGCATATTGGCTATGGACATTCCAAGGCCGTCTGCTCCAGAAAAACAACAAAGACAGGTTCTGTCAGCTGCTGTGGAGACCACGACCAGCTACCTTGCTCAGTGAGGATCAGATAAAGGTAGTGTCCTTCCGGTGACTGCTGACATTGATTTGGTGTATGAATAGACCTGTCGTACTCTCTCTTGTCGAGGATGGGGCTTGAGCTGTTACAAAGTTAAGCAACTGCCTTTTTGCCTTGAATTTGTGAAAAAGCATTGCTGTAGGGGACCTCACTTCTAAGAATGATGGTAAATATTAACTGCTCTTTAAGATCGGAGTGGAAATGGCTACAACTTGTTCTTACAGTTAGGGTAAAGCCAAAGGGTATAAAGAACAAAACTGAATTTAGATTTCACTGATTGCATGCATACAGCAGCATTTGCAAGATCCCTAAGTCGGAACAAACAAAATGATAGTGAAGGAAAATTACCTAGAAGATGATGCTTTTAAAAAGTGCATAGCCAGCTTAGACCTATTGAAGGAGCTCTTGCAGAATATGATTGCTGCTCTGATACCCTGGTTGAAATAAAATTCCCTGTTCTACAGCAAATAAAGAAGGACCTGAAGAAATACTCCAAGATATTTGAGCAGAAGGATCGCCTGAGCCAGTCCAAAGCTTCAAAGGCAAGACACTTTGGGAATATAGTAATGTAGATACAACTTGTAACCTGGCCTTAGCTATTTTGTAATGGTTACATGCAAGTTAAATTTCTTCTCTAACAAACACTTGTGTTCATTTGAATCCAGATGGTTAGAGTTCGTTCCAGTAGGGAAGATGTGACCAAGCTGTCAGGTTAAATAATAATGAATCTGGTGAGGCACTGGTGTTGCCTCATTAAGCAAAGGTGGTAAAATTTGGGGGTTCTTAGTGAGTTGCTCCATTTGGCAGTCTTTAAGAAAAGCTTTTAAAACCAAAGATGCTCTTTGACTACATAAGTGAAAGATCTTTTTCCTTTCAAGTTAGTGGAAAATATGTTCATGAGAAAGCTTGACTTGCTAGCAAATGCCTTGCCATGTGGATTTGATTTACTGGGGAGGTTTAATGACCTCTTCCTGCCTCTCTAGGAGCTAGTGGAAAGGAGACGTACAATGATGGAAGAGTTCAGAAAGTACCGCAAGATGGCACAGAAATTGTACATGGAGCAGAGGAATGAGCGTTTAGAGCTTCGAGGAGGTAAGCCACACATAGTACTTGTGAAGTCATGCTGCTTCTTACCAAATAACTACCCTGTCCTGGGGATTCATCCATTCTCTCCCTCCATTTCCTGCCAAAGCTAATCCCCTGTTCTCTAAAGGTTATTTATACTTTTTATCCTAAGTCACAACAGGATTTATTCCACCACACACACCCCCTCCACAGGAGAAAGTTCAAATGCTGTTGGCTGCCAGATATGGTATCTGTGTTTTACCTTGCATCTTCATGCTTCAAGGAAAGCAAAGAGACTTTGGTGTTGCAGTTAACCAGAAAACCTGCAGAAGCCCTGTGCTGGCAGGCACCTTGGTTGTCATTTAATGAATTTACCATGTATGATTTAAAGCCCCAAAATCTCTCTTTTCACTGCTGTGTTAAGGACTGTTTCTGCCATGAGCATCAAATCTTTCCATTGCTGCCTTGTTTGGTGTGATCAGTGTTGCTGTTTTCTGCATTGCAGGGGTAGACACAGATGAGCTGGACAGCAATGTCGACGACTGGGAGGAGGAGACTGTTGAATTTTTTATCAATGAAGAAATTATTACCCTTGCAGAACCAGAGTAATTAATTAAACTGTGGTAAGATGACAAACCCCTCTGTTTGCTATTGCTATAGATGCAATCATTTACTTGAGAAAGTTAGGTCTGTCTGTTGCATGAGTGAATGTGTTGCTCTTTAAGTTGATTTGTGCGTTCTCTGTAGAGAGGGCAAAAGTGTCTGAAGAAGTAATGGCAGATTTATGAGTTGTGCTGAGCAGCATTCTGTGTATGGCCTGTCTTGCCAGAGCTGTCAAACCGCACTGGAGTCAGGGTCAGCTTCGAGGCTCAGTGTGTTGCAGACTCTAGGTTCTGTCAGTAGGGGGAATGAGTAGCATGAGAGAGAAATTGTGCCTTTTGGATGAATTGCATGTTAGTTCAAAATGGACAGAGTTTAAGTACTGTACTGAAGAGGGTACAACAAGTTGACTGGGCTGATAGAACCTGGAGATGTTTAAACATCCACATGAACTCTGCTGTTGTTTTATAGGAATGTTGGGTAAAACTTGGGAAGTAGCAGATTCTTGTATGCAGCTGCATGTTGCTGAAATCTTATTTAATCCAGTGCTTTTCCCCAGAGCCTTTTTGTCAATTCATATGATGTATTTCTATGTTGAAAATAGAGGCTACTTTCAGCCCCTGTTATAGGAAATGTCCCTTAGGGAGCTTGAGTTTGTTGGATTGAGAAGATAAAAGATACTTTGATAGTGAAGGCACTCACATAAGCCTTAAAACCTGGAATGTGTTGCTGTTCTGTCATGTTTAGTACTTCATTTAAGGAAGGGGAGACTGGAAGTATACGTTATACAGCTGCAAGTCAGCCTATATAGCTCTTTAATCTCCAGATATCTAAGGAGTTCAAGTAAAACATAAACAGTTTACCTCTTGGGTTTATGGACAAATATGTAGCCTTGGTACCTGTGAATGTATTTTGATCAGGCTTATCTGTGTCCCATACATGGGAGGTCCTTTTATGGAAAGAAGAGGGTGAAAACATCAGTTTAAGAACAAGTGAAACACGTGCAGCCTTTCACCAAGCAGCCTCTCTGATGAGGTTGAGCTGTTTATATAGAAGCACAGTAACTAACTTGCCTCTCTTTTCCCTTCCTGCAGCACCACCAGATCTTGTGCTGAAAAGAAGTTTGTTCATTTTTCAGAAAGCCTACATCAACTCTGGAATTTGTAATCCATATTCTTGCACTCTGGAAGGGTGGATGCACCAGATTTCTCCATTCTGACACGCTGTAGTGCCTTTAAGTCTTGCTGCCTGCTGCAGTGAGGCACTGGGAAGGCGCTGCTTTAAATTCTATTATTTTTTTAGGGGGTTTATTTTTGTTTTTTTTTTCTTTTTTAACTCCACTACTACCAGTATTTACTTCCTGACTCCCTGTGCAGTACTTGCCAACTGGTAGCGTTTTGGCTATTGCCAGTGAGGTGAGATTCACCAGTGCACCTCTTAAACACACGATGTTTCTGTTTCAGGACTCTTTCTATGTCCCAAGTGCATGGACAAGTGTTCCTTTCGTTTGGGGAAAAGTCAACAGAACCATTTTTCATATGATGTGTCTTAGTGTGCTGAAGCAGCACTACAGTGGGCTATATCCTCCTCCTTTCAGATTGTGAAAGGATGTCTCCCTCAAAGAGCTGAATATGGAAATAAAAGCAGACCTATACTAAAACCAGGCTGGCTACGTGTTGTTTGTAGGGAATCTTTCCCTGAGTGATGACAGTCAAACATGCCTGCAGTAACAAGAGTGGTTTTTATCTTGTCTGTATGCTTCATTTGGAACTTTTTAGTCTTAATTCCTCATGGCTCCTCTGGATTTGTTGTTTTTACAGTGATGGTACAGCTCATTCATCTGACAAGCTGGCCTATTCTTCATTAGTGGAGCAACGAGGAAATGAGTGGGTTTCTTAAACCATTTGCAAAATGATCCTAGCCTCAGGAATGACTGGATTAGTCTGTCGTATTAATGAATAGTGCAAAATATCTGAGAAGTGCTCTATGCACATGCCTTATTCTTCGTGTTACAGTACCTAGTCTCATTTCTAAAGCCCTCTGTGCTCAGAGGGGAAAAGTGTACTTATAGGAACTTCTCTGTTTATGAGTAGAAGTTCTTTACTGGATATTGTTGGAGCAGTGAGAGGTTAGTGGGCTGCTTGCCCTTTGAGGGGCAGAGGAGAGTGAGGATGCCAGTGAAATTGCCCAGTGTGAGCACTGTGTACTGTCTGTTTGTAAACCCTGAGCTCACTGACACAGCAATGTCTGACAGCTCTGAAGCAGAAAGCACCCCTTGGGCAAAGGGTCCCCCCTGTTCAGCTGGAGGCAGCCAAGGGACAATAATGTGTTGAGTACTCACTCTTCTTTGTCCTTAGGTGAACATGCTGTGACAGCAGATCTGCAAACCCCTCAATTAACTCCCATGCTCTCTTCAGCAGGAAGACTCTTCAGAATGGTTGTTCCATAGTGATGGTATTGGCTTAATTTCAGTGGTTGACTCTTAAACCAGTGGGTGGGTTTATTTCCAGAAGTCTGTATTAGCTTCCATTCTTATTTGTTGAAATGTGTTCATTCATGATCCATATACGCAGATACTATAGATGATTAAAGCTTTTTGCACAGTATTTACTAAGCTCATCACTGGACTGGACTGGAGAAGAATACTTCCTTCCTTGTAAAACAGTGCAGAAGAACTCTGGGCACTTCAGAGTTCTCCAGTAAGGGCTTGAACTTCTAGGGCAGGAATCATTTTAATTACCCTTTAGCTGTAAAGAGCTGATTTCTCAGCATTTTCTAAGTTACAAATTGAGTTAAAAGTTGTTGGTTTTTTCTCCTGTCTCCATGCACTGAAATTTTAATGGGCTGCTGTGGTTTATTCCTGGCCATTTTCAAAGTAAAGCAATATAATGCCAATGTTAAGTGAATTGAGTTCCAAGGTGCTTCTCTGAAGCTGCTGTAGGAGCTTTGGAAGTTGACAAGTGTTGTCATGACCAGGGGTAAATGTCTCTTCTCATCTGTAACACTGGTATTTCTGACTCTGCTTCCTTCACTTACTGTGTGTTTTCTGTAATGTTCCCTACTTCAAATGCTTTTTGGAAATCATGTGCTACTGAAAGTGCTTTATGGGTATGAATTTGGTAAAGCAGTCTTATTTGGTATAGCTCAGAATAACACCAGGACTTGTAGAGTGGAGGAGGAGGGGTCTCATTGGATTGAATCTGTGTTGCTGGGTGTAGCTTCGAGTACTCGGTGCCTCTGGATTTCAGCTTGTGGCCCCTATGAGGGCTCTGAAGGATGGTCAGAACAGATGTGGGTTTGTAGGTACTGTATAGAGAGATGTATAAGTGGGGGAAAGGCTTCCAGCAGCAGTTGTACTTCACTGAATGCCTTTAAGGGTCAAGAATTCGGGCAAGGGGAGGGAGGGAAGCAAGCATTAAGTGGGATAGGATGTCACTGTGTGTTAAAGTATTGTCTGAAGTATTTTAAATGATTGTTCTTATATAGCAAGATTAACTGGAGCAGTTCCTATAATCCTGGGCTAGTCTTCACTTTCAGTCTATTTGAATCTGTAATAAACATTCTCATGACCTTTTATAACCACCTCCAGTCCTTCATGCAGACTTCACAGAGCAAGTGCTGTTCACTTGCTATACTAAGTTTTAACTCCTTAAATTCTAATGTTTTTTTATGTCACTTTTATGAGGTTTGACTCGTTTACTGTCAATAAATAATGAAGAGAAAAAGTGATCTTGTTGTGTTTTGTTTTCATAGGTTGTAAAGAATGGACTGACAGTACAAGTGATTGCCTTCCTGAATGCAGGAGCTGTGAAATGCCGCTCTGTGTGAGGTGACAATACAGTGGAAGCTTACACTTGGCTCAGGGAGGGAGCATACTGTTTCCTGTGCTCTTAAAGGTGGTTGTCACTTCTTGTGCAGGACTGGAGGGCCAGGGTGCTTGTTGCTCAGCTTTTGGTGGAGCTGTGGGCCCCTCTACCTGCTTGTGTTGTGTGTTTGATCCTAAGGGACGTGGAGCTGTCGCAAAGATGCTCCGAGGGCTGGAGCACCTCTGCTATGGAGACAGGATGAGAGAGCTGGGCTTGTTCAGCCTGGAGAAGAGGAGGCTTCTAATACCTAAAGGGGCAGACAAGAAAATCTGGAGAGGGGCATTTAACAAGGGCCTGTAGGGACAGGACAAAGGGCAATGGTTTTAAACTGACAGAGGGGAGATTGAGATGAGGAAGAAATCCTTCCCTGTGAGGGTGCTGAGGCGCTGGCACAGGGTGCCCAGAGAAGCTGTGGCTGCCCCATCCCTGGCAGTGTTGAAGGCCAGCTTGGATGGGGCTTGCAGCAACCTGCCCTAGTGGAAGGATGGAGAGGGTTGGAACTGGAGGAGCTTTAAGGTCCCTTCCAACCCAAACCAGTCTGTGAATCTGGCATCTGGGCACAAAGTGAAGGCTGTGGCATGGAGGTGGACTTGCATGTAAAGGATTTGGGCTTGCAAGTGGGTCATTTAGCTTATCCTGACCTCTTTCACCATGCAGTGTTAGCACTCTGCTTCCTGCAGCCCTGTCACAGGTGGGGAGGAAAAAGCCCAGTGCAGATGAATGGGGTAACCCTGCAGTTGGGGTCGTTAGTTCTCTTCAGAAAGGGATTTTCAGTGTGTGCATCTGTGGGATCTGAGGTATGTGCTCATAAGCAGCTGGGGTTATAGTCCTTGCCGTTGTTGCAGGACCTCAGCATCATCTCTGTGTTGATCAGAGGAGCCCTTTGAAACTGTAATCCTTTCCCAAGTTTCAGCCTTTCAACCCTGTGGCTCTCCATTAAACTCATAATATGCTGAAACATGACTGGGTCAGATTCAGAAACCTCTGCTCAAAGTGGAATTGCTTTAAAATAATAATACCTAGAATGTCTTGCATTCCTCTCTAATGCAAGGGAAAGCCTTAGTACTTGATGTGACCTGTCTCCACATGCTGCTTATTTGGGGTTGTTTTCATACCCTCAGTGGCTGGGGTTCCCAATACAGTGATGAACTGGGTTATTCTGGAAGGTAAGACTGTCTAAGGGAGACTTGCACTATCCCTGCTCCTGCACATCTGGGATTATGCTGTGCAAGATGATATCTTTAAATGCTTCTAAGAGATGAGTTCAGCCCATGGGAATGAGATGCTCATAAGAGTGTCACTCAGCTGTGTTTAGGGAGATGATGAAGTGAATCTATTTGTTACATTCCTGGGTCTATTAAAAGCTACCCAAAGCCAAGGAGCTCTCCGTGTACTCAAAGATGTTCACAGTGAGGAAATGTTCCTTCGCTGTTGATGGAACTGCTGCAAAAGCTCTGCTTGCAGTGCTTGGGACTGGGAGCTGTTTGTGAAACCCTCGTTAAATTGGCATGGAGCTTGTTATTGTGAAAATAAATCTGGTTCCTATAGAAACCGGTTGCTTGCGCCTGGTGGGGCTGTAGAACAAGTCTCTTTCAATAATTGCACACCCTCCTGATGGGGCATCATTTCTGTGCATTATGCAGTGTTCCATCAGCATCAACTCTCCTGTCAGGAGCTGCTAAGGGGATGCTGCTGTATTTTATGAAAGGGAAAAACAGCCGTGGAAAGGTGAAAATAGAATTTTTCCAATATCTGTTATTAGCTTAGATCCCAAAGACAGCTTTTAGGTGGGATTTTGAATAGACCCTTCACCAGGCACACAGCTTCGGGATTGTGCAGCTCATCCACAGCTGCAGTGAGCCAACACCCCAGCTTCAGGGGCACAATTAACCCCATAGCTGATCCCTGATGCTGCATTTTCTCTATTGTTTCACTTACAGACTAAACAGGACAGAAGTACATCTGTTCTTGTTAATACTGACAAATAGACACTGTGTTTTAATTCTTCATGTCAAATTGCCCATGTTTCAAAGCAGGGCACTGTGTTTCTGACTGATTGAGTTGTGGCACAAGGCACTGGCACTTAATTGCTCCTTTATAATCACTCTGGTCCTTAGATGAATTCCAGTTTCCAAGGAACCCTGCAGGACCTGCACAGATCAGGGCCAACTTGCTCTGATCTGGTTGAACAGGCTCATAATAGCGCTACCTGGGCTTAAACAAAATGGGTACTTAGTGAAATGCAATTCCCTTTCTTTGTCACAGGTAACTTTAATCAGTGTTTTGGGAACACTGGGGGAATCTATAAGCATGCTCAGCTCTATGGCTGTTGGTAGCATAGTCCCAGACCCCTGAAGGTTCTTGCTGGCAGCAGCAATGATACGACTGAGTTCATTCTGCTGCCGCCTCTGTCAATGAGTTGGAGTCTTGCTGCGTTAGAGATGGAAAGAGGGGAAGAGGGAGGAAGGATTTGTCCAGATAAAAGTGCAAATCCTGGGAGAATTAACTGGTTTGGACTTCATAAACTTCCTTAAACTCTCTAAGCCCTAAGCCTGGAGCACAAACCTGATAAGGAATGGCTGAGGGAGCTGGGGTTTAGTCTGGAGAAGAGAAGGCTCACAGGGGACCTTATAGCTCTCTGTAACAGTGGCTGGAGTGTGGTGAGCGTCTGTCTCTTTTCCCAGGTATCTAATAGCCTCAAGCTGCACCAGGGGAAGTTTAGGCTTGATATTGGGAAACATTTCTTCACCCAAAGGGTGCTCAGGCATTGGAACAGGCTGCCCAGGGCAGTGCT